ATTTAAATCTATTGCTCCAACTTCTTCAAATACCAACATAGAGCTCCCTAATGAGCCTGTTTTAAGAAGATCTACAAGACAGAGTAAAAAACCTCAAAGACTAGACTTGTGATTAAAAAAAAAAAGAAAAAAAGAAATGTAACTATGTTCGATGTAATGTTTGAAATGTTAGCTATATTTGTCCATTGTTGTACCAGTGGTTAATGAGTTCAAGAACTTGATACTTTAAGTAAGATTTAGGTATTGTAATATATAGAATTTTTTTTAACTTTAAAGAAACGTGTGTGTAATGATATGTGATGATGTAGATATCAGTTTTAACCACTAGATGTCAATATTATTCTTGATCACATGGTGTAGACAGGATAGATATAGGAGGAGGAAATGTTTGTACAAGGWGAAGGGCGTGGAAAAAGAAAATAAAGTGGTGTTGCATGAAGAAGAGTTGCTGGTTCCTTGAACAAAGAACACAACAGTGTGTTTTTCTGTTTTGCAGGTAAGCTGGGTGATAAATAACAATAGAAAACAGTAGTAACATCTCATAAAGTGTCTTGTGGCAGAAAGAAGTAAGGTAAAACTAGAGTGTAATCACATGTTTAAGAGTTTGCTGCAGCGTGGTTAAAATGTCGGACATGTGCGGGGCACTCACGATGAGGGCCTGCAGACTCATTTCATGTTCGTTTTTAAGCTAAAGGATAGAAGCTAACTATGCAGAGATGTTAGTAGCATCAGTAAAAGTGCAACTGACTTGACTTTAACCTACCTGAAACAGAGTAAATGTGTTATGGAATGAKGCGCTAGTGTAAAACCGAACTGTGGAGCTAAGCTTGGAGCTAAATTTAGCATCAAGCTAGGACAATTGAGCGCACGTGGTTCACGTTCCTGTGTGAGCTTAGTTGTTTGGTTGTGATTAAAGTCTGTATTTACAGCTATTTTTGTTTTTAAAGTTGTACTATATTTTCTAGATGTGTTTTGTAATCATTTGAGAAAATGTAAAATGTGGTTTTTTTTTTCATTTCCTTAAGGTGAAATATAATAGAAATGTTAAAAAGACATTCAGTTAAAATGGATTCAATTTAAAATACAATTCATAAGTGATTTAAAAGGATTAACAACTGGTTATAATAAGAACTGTTTTAGTACTACTGTTTGATTAGTGAGTTTCACAGGAAAAATGTTGTTTCTTTTATTGTGAAAGTAGAAGAAGTTGACCAGTGTTGGATAAAGCAGTGCAGAGACGAAGCAAGAGTAGCTCCTTTAATTGGCTATGTTTTTTTCTGTTTTGCAGTTTCATGCAAAATAAATGTGTTGCACCGGAGATGAGTTGGCCCATCATTTCAGCAGTGTAACACATAGTACAGAAACGGCACTTGTCAGGGTGTGCAATGACTTGCCTTTAACTGTTGATTCTGGTGCTTCTTGATCTCACCGCTACTTTCGACATGGTGAATCATTGAGTTTTATTATCACGTCTGGAACAGTTTGTTGGCATGAAAGGCACAGCTCTTAAATGGTGTGAGTCCTACTTGTCGGACAGGAAATTTTCTATTCAAATTACGGAGTTCCTGTCCTCAGAGGCCCCTCTCGGATGCACGGTTCCTCAAGGCTCAATTTGTAGGCAGGATATTTTAAAACGTAATTGATGAAACACGATGAACACGACATGATTTAAAGGACTGAAGGAAATTTTGTAATTGATCAACTGAATGTTGGATGCAGTTTTGTATTTTTATACTTTCTGATCATTCCAGCCATAAGATCAAAACAAAGAGTTGGTGTGTGTCTCATCCTGTGTTCTTTCTGTCTGTATAAACTAAAATGAGTTACGTTCTGACATCTGACAGGGGTGTAACCAGCAAGAGACTGAAGAGATTATAAGGTTGAGTCATTATGATGTGGGTAGAAGTGTTTTCAGAAGTTGTTAGTGTTTTGCAGAATCTCTGCTTAGACCCAGCTTGGACAGACTGAGCTGCTTTGGGTTTTCAGATACGAGCTCTTACGCTGAGGCCTGTGCTGAGTGCTGTACTGTGAACCTGATTGGAGTCAGATGAGAATAAAGTTTTGAGAAGAAATCCAGTGGGTCCTGCTTTTATTCAGACATGCCATTTTTGAACAGCATTTTATTTTCTACAGCACTTACCTTCTTTAATTCAGTTTGTTCAACCACAGAAAGCTTAGACTGAACAGAGAAAAACATTCTGTTTTATCAGCTGAACTTCAGCTTTGTTTACTCTCTTTCACAACCTGTTGTTTTTCCTGCATTTACTCTGTGGAACGATTAAAAGCTGACCAATCATGGCATCGCTGAGATGCTAGAGAATACACAGAAAAAACAGAAAATATACAAGCGTTTATTTTATCTTTTATTCTGTCCTGATGCATCTCAGTAATCCAGGTAAAAAATCAAAAAGAAAAAATAAATAGGTCCTCTGGATGGGTTCTTCTTTAATGAAACATTTCATCTCTCCTCCAAGAGACTTCTTCAGTCTGAGGAGTTTCAGGTGAACTCAGCCTTATAAGCACTGCCTCCACATGGTGAACAAACAGGTTGGTCACATGCAACAGAGGACCATCTGCCAAACAATAGGTTGTTAGCGCCTTGATTAACTCTATTGTTCATAGAGGGTCACATGACCCATCACCTGACTATCGTTGGGGCCCGGATTCACACCTTTTGCTCACAGGGGTTGAGTCATACTTGCAATAACTTTTATCCTATTAGTTTTGAATTAATAAACATACAAATACAGCCATACTGCAGTACAAAAATAAACACATTGTTTCCATCTTTTACTTAAATGGTTGCTTTTCAAGGGCGAGTTCTACTGTGTGGAGGCGGAATTGTCCAAACCCAAGAAAAAAAGCAGGTTGGATCTCTGCCTTCATACTAGGGCTGGGCATAATTATATCCTGTGCAGTTAGTCATCAGAAAAACATTAATTGGTTATTTTTTGGCACTTGACTAATACGATTGATGTCACCAGGCAGTCAGTCCGCTTGGTGCTCCTCTCTGCTTAAATATGACGAACATTAAAAAAGAAAAAGTTCTGTTCTGTCAGTAAAAGTATTGATACAACATGGTCAAACCTTACTTAACTGCAAGTAAAAGTTACTTGGTCAAAAATATACTCAAGTTAAAGTACTGAAGTACTTACATTTGAAAATACTTAAGTATTCAGAAGTACAAATTAAAATGCCTAATATCAGTACATTGCTGTATTGTTTTCTGAGTGATTTTACATCGACAGACACATAAAGCCACTCTGTTAAAAATTCACCGCCTGTAAAGACCTCAGCATAAAAATGCAATAAAGTGAGTGGTGATTACTTAAATGCAGAAATCTAGTTTATCTACAGTGAACCCAGAATGCATTTAAACTGACAGGAACTATTTTTCAGTCCTAAAATCTGAAACATAGAGCTGAGATATGGCCATGCGTGCTTTGGTTTCTCTACTCTCTTCAACCATCTCCATTGCTGGGTTCTGTTTGAAATGTATGGCGTTACACTTGTGCCATCAGCTTGTGCACAGTAACACTGATTTGAGAGCAGATATCGGCATGAACAAACAATAATTTGAACCGTGTGCATTCAATTAACACACATGCTTATGTAGCTCCCTCCCTGCTTGCTCAACTCTCTTCCTGCTTGTGCTTGACTCCTTCCCTCGCTCCTCAACTTTTTGTCTGCTCGCACGGCTCTTTCCCTCCCTCCTCTCAACTTTAGTATGTGCTTACTGTCATTGTGTATTTTAGGCAATGCATCTCTGTAATTCAGGTAGAAAAAAAATACAAGTTTAACTTAACTTTTTAAAATTATTATTATCATCATCATCGTCATCATCATCATCATAATTAGGCTCTTATAGGCAATATTGTTTATTTACATTAAGATAAATTATTGTTGGTTTTGGTATCATTTGTAGATATTCAAATTAATTTATTAATCCCTCTTCATTACTGATATTCTGTTTTATCAAGAGGGCTTAATTTGAATATCTACAAATAATATCAAAACCAACAAGTATCCTAATCCTAATGTATTTTTTTAAATATTTTCTAAAATACTCAATGACAGTGACCACATTTTTATGCTTAGCTAAATATTGTTGGGCTACAAAATTTAAACAAATCTTTTGGCAAAAGATAATATGTTTAAACTTATATTATCTTTTGACAAAAGATAATAATGGTTAAACTTGTGGGTTTTTTTCTTCGATCTGGATTACAGAGATGCATTGCCTAAAGTATCACAATGACAGCAAGCATATTTTTATGCTTAACTAAATATTCTGGGCTACAAAATATTTAAAATATATCTTATTGTTATCTTTTGCTGATATAATTGGCCTTGCATCTAAGATTTTGTCATTTTCGTCTCTTGATTTAGTAGATTTGCAATAAGTGCTTTGATTGGATGCAAAAAGCCTGTCTGTGATTGGCTGGTGATGTGGTTCATTTACATATAACTTGGGTTGCGAGCTCAGAGACAGCTGCAAGCGAGCGGAGGGGAAGCTGAGAGGAGGGAGGGAGGGAGGCGCGTGAGCAGACTCAAAGTTGAGAGGAGGGAGGGAAGGAGTCGAGCACAAGCAGGAAGAGAGTTGAGCAAGCAGGGAGGGAGCTGCATGAGCGTGTGTGTTATTTGAAAGCACACGGTTCAAATTATTGTTAGTTCATATTGATATCTGCTCTCAAATCAGTGTTACTGCGCATGCAAGCTGATGGCACAAGTGTAACGCCACAAAAATGAAGGTAGGAGCTCAGCTCGGGACTGTTAATGAACATGTTGTAATCCCAAATCTATCCCAGGTGTGAGCTACAACTGTGATTGGTTGCCCTTGTGAAGAACATAACGTGGCCAATTGCATTTCAAGAAAGAAAAACAGGAACGGTGGATAACAAAACTATGCTGAACTAAAAGTAACAAGTAACCACGAGTTTCCTAGAAATGTAGAGTAGAAAGTACAATATTTATCTTTGAAATGGAGTGGAGTGAAAGTCATAAGTACCCCAAAACGTTATTACTCAAGTAAAGTAAAGATACTCAAAAATGTACTTAAGTACAGTTCTCAAGTAAATGTACTCCACTACTGTTCACCACTGGTCATGTGACGAGGACATAAGGATGTCCAGGGACTCCAGGACATTAATCGTCAACTTAATCATTATTGGCTAAATACCACATTTAATCATGATCAATTTTTTGACAATATTACCCAACCCTACTGCATACTGTTGCCATCTCAGTTTGATTAGTCAGCAGCTGATCATTCCACAGAGCAAAGGCAGAACAAACAAGAAGTTGAAGAAGAGAACAAACAAAGTCAAAGTTCAGTTGATCATTTATATAAACAGTCTCTCTCTCTGTGTGTGTGTTCAATCTGAGCTCTCCTGTCTGTGGCAGAAAATAAACTACGACCTGAAGAAGGTAAGCACAAAACGGAAATCACTTAAAACCATTAACTCTTATTTTTCCAAGTACATGTCTAAATGTTTTGCCTCCAGATTCATGTTAATTGAACACGTAAAATAAAAGGTCAGCTTTACACATTCTATTTTGTGTAGTACAATAACATCATTGCTATAATAACAGTTGATTTAAAACTTTTGGGTTTGAAAAATAATTAATGTAAATGTTTCTATCTGATTTATTCCATAAAAATTTCGTGTGAGAAAGATTTGATCAGATATTTAAATCTGCCAAACCACAGCAGGTTTGGAGATCAGGGTTGTCTAAACACACATACTGTAAGTTTTTACATAAGCTGTTGAGTCACAAATAAATAAATAGCAACTACAAAGCTAAATGTATGATCTACATTGGTACAATTGGCAAACATTGTGTAATGTCAGTAAACACTGCATGTTTGAACCTTTGTCTCAGACCACCAGGATGCGTGGAGCCGTGTTTCTGTGGATCTTCTCAGCAGTGGTCTGCGTGGGGAGAGGTGACCACCATGTAGGCCATGGCAGGGAAGCACAAGATACCACCATGGACAGCAACAACAACAGAATCCTAGTGACTTCAGCCAACAAAGAGTTTTCCTTCCATCTTTACAGGAAGTTAGCAGGTCTCTCTGAATCCCAGGGGAAAAACATCTTCTTCTCCCCTTTCAGTGTGTCTGTTGCCTTGGCTGCTTTGTCTGTAGGGGCACGAGGAGAGACCCACCAACAGCTTTTCAGTGGTYTGGGTWTCAACAGCTCCCAACTGACCCAAACAGATGTAGACCAGGCTTTTCATAATCTCCTTTCAAACACAATGTCTCATGAGGACGTCAACACAGGAACTGCTGTGTTTGTAGACCACCTGTTCAAGCCCCAGCCTGAGTTCCTGGATGTCTTGAAGCAGTCGTATTTGTCTGAGGGCTTCAATGTTGACTTCAGTAAACCCACAGACAGCGCCAACACCATCAATAAGTATGTTTCAGATAAGACCAATGGAAAGATCGATAAGCTAGTCGAAGGCCTGGATCCAGGCACAGTCATGTATCTCCTCAGCTACATTTACTATAAAGGTAGTAGTAGGTTAGTTTCTTAAATTATTTTTACAATGGGGTAACTTCTAAAAGTCTTTTTTCTTCTAATCACTTTCAAACAGGCAAGTGGGCGACTCCATTTCATCCTGCTATGACCAGGGAGGACGAGTTCAATGTAGACGAAACCAACAAGGTTCAAAGTTGCACTTTATTTGAACACATTTGAACAGCAGTGTATCATTAGCAGTGGTGGACAGTAGTGGAGTGCATTTACTTGAGAACTGTACTTAAGTACATATTTTATGTATCTTTACGTTACCTGAGTAATTATTTTTTGGGGTACTTATGACTCTCTCCACTACAATTTAACAACAAATATTTTACTTTTTACTCCATTACATTTCTAGGATGCTTTTAGTTACTCGTTACATTTGGCTCAGCATAGCGTTGTAATTAGCTTGGTTAAAACCAGCCCCTTGTTCTTCACTTGGCTTTGTACAGAGGGTCTGGACTCTTGGCTATAGAGAAGCACTTACTTGCTAGAGGCGTGGCCTCTGTTGAAGTTTAAAACAATTGGCTCGGTTGGCCGTCACGTATGTCACGTATGTGTGCGCCAGCTCCACTGTGAAGGAGGCTAAGCTAAGAAGCTAACCGAAAATTACGTGTGCTGTAAACAACCCTACTGAGAGAAGAGAAGTACCGAGCCGAACGAGACGACTGTAAATGATGCTGCAGGCTTTGTCAGACAAATTTAATTTAATTTGGAAGCCTTCTCAACACAGACTGGCTTCATTCACTTCCTCCGCTGCCATTGCTAAACTAGCAGACACTGTGCAGAAAATCGACGTTGCCGTTTAAAACTCCTTCTGTTTGCTAATTTGCTCAGGTAAAATTCTCCTGAAGAAATCCTTGTCAATGGAAGAAATCCCAGATGGAACAGTGAAGGGAAACTAGAATTGACCAAAACTGTGTTGAAAACGCAAGGGCCAGGCTACTTGTAGTTACTTGTTACTTTTAGTTCAGCATAGCTTTGTAATCCGCCGTTGCTGTTTTTCTTTTTCTTGAAATGCCATTGGCCACACACTATGTTCTTCACAAGGGGAACCTGTCACAGTTGTAGCTCACATCCAGGATAGATTTAAAATTACATCATCTTCATTAACGGCTGCGAGCTGAGCTCCACCGTCATTTCAAACAGAACCCAGCAATGGAGACGGTTGAAAAGTGTAGAGAAACCAGCACATGCATGGCCATATCTCAGCTCCATGTTTGAGATTTTAGGACTGAAAAATAGTTCCTATCAATTTAAATGTATTCTGGGTTCACTGCAGATTAACTACATTTCTGCATTTAAGATCTCACCACTCACTTTATTGCATTTTTATGCTGAAGTCTTTACAGGTGGTGCAGAATTTGTTCCACAGTGGTAGGGTTGGGCAATATTGGCAAAAAAAATCAATCACRATTAATTGTCGTACTTGGCTGATAACGATTAATTTGATGATTAATCCCCTGGAGTCGCTGGACACCCTTATGTCCTTGTCACATGACCAATTTAGCGGGAAAGATTTGCTCTTTGTAAAAAATTGTTCCAAATTCTGTGAAAATTACAGATTTCAAGCTATACATCATATTTTAAATTGTGTTGATAAATAAATTACTGAACTTTATTTTAAATTTTTGTCATATCTGAAGCGGAGAGGAGCACCGAGCAGACTGACCGGAGTAATCCCCAGTCAGTCTGCCTGGTGGCATTAATCGTATTAATCGTCAAGTGCCAAAAACAAATTGATTAATGTTTTTCTGACGACTAATTGCACATGATACGATTATGCCCAACCCTACACAGTGGTTCTACGTGCCGATACATCAGGTGGTTTCTGAGAGTGACAAGGGGCCTCATGTATAAACGGTGCGTACGCATAAAAAAAGTTGCGTGCGCCAGGTTCGACGCCCACGTTGGGATGAATGAAAACCAACGTTGCGTGAAAGTGTGCGTATATTTACACACGCTTTTCACCTGCCATGAAAATGTGAGGCAGCCACGCAAAGTTTTTCACTTCACAGTTTTAACCCCCTTAAAGTCATGAATCTGACCGGAATCCACAGAAAAATGACTTGGTTCTGTTTATATGGCATTACACTTGTGCCATCGGCTTGCTCGCATAGTAACACTGATTTGACAGCAGAAATCACTATGAACAAACCATAATTTGAACCGTGTGCATTCAAATAACACACACGCTCATGCAGCTCACTCCCTGCTTGCTCAACTGTCTTCCTGCTTGTGCTCGACTCCTTCCCGCCCTCCTCTCAACTTTGTCTGCTCGCGCAGCTCCTTCCCTCCCTCCCTCCTCTCAACTTTGCGTCTGCTCGCATGGTTCCCTCCCCCTCCTCTCAACCTCACCTCCACTTGCGCGGTTCTCACTCCCTCCTCTCAACCTCCCCTCCGCTCACTCGCGGTGCTCTGCGCTCAACCCAAATGTTATATGTAAATGAACCACAGCAGCCAATCACAGACAGGCTTTTGTCATCCAATCAAAGCACTTATTGCAAATCTACTAAACCAAGAGACGGAAATGACAAAATATTAGATGCAAGACCCATTATATCAGCAAAAGATAATATTAAGATATATTTTATATATTTTGTAGTCCATAATATTTAGTTAAGCATATAAATATGCTTACTGTCATTGTGTATTTTAGGCAATGCATCTCTGTAATCCAGGTAGAAAAAAAACAAGTTTAACTTAACTTTTTAAGTTGTTGTTGTTGTTAATATTAGGCTCTTATAGGCAA